TTCTTTTTTTCTGTATCGATTTAAAATTAGTTTTCATGTTGTTTTTTATTTGTTTACTAAGCTTATCTTTTAAATCTAGAATAAACTTTATACGGATTTTTCTTTTTTAAAGAAAAAAAGAACTTAAAGTCATCAGTTGGCCTGAATGCAAGTAAATTAGTTTAGGTGACCCTTACGCAATCTATTTTTTTATATTTTATATCCGTCGTTGAGCAATCGACCCAATTTTAGGTTCACGACTACTAATGTTCAACTCCGTAGCCTTGTAATTTTGAACCAATCCAGAAGACAAGGAAACTCAAGGATCAGTACCCCCTGAGGTATTAATTTGTTATGGGAACATGGCGGACTTTGTAACTCGACAGATTTAACGTACACCAGTCAAAATTTACTACACGGGGTGTCTTCGGCCGACCTGGGATCGAACCCATGAACTCTTGGATGTGGGCCCAGTGCCCTACCGACCAGGCTAATGACGACAACTACATCTGTAGCACAAGATACCCAGAAATCTGCGGATACATCGCCTCCTGTAACTGAAAGCCTCCACACGGTTTTTTATAGGTAGTCCGATCCGACCACTGCGAAGGATATGCACATTCCGAACGAATCACTTAATATAAAATCTAGTTAAAATAAGAAAGTGGTAGCAAGTATATGACTAAAAATTTGTTTTACTTATGAATATTATTGGTTTGCCTTATTCACTTGTCAATCACTACAGATTCAATTCTTAAATATATATGATGAATTTTTCTCAAATACTTTTATAAAAGGTTTTGGGTTCATGCGCACAACTGGTTCACTTTTTAAATAGTCTGCGCGGACTACTTATGAAAGACCGTGTGAAGGCTTTTTGATGTAGGAGGTGATCAGGGCTAAAGAGAATACAAGGGCTAGTTCACTTCGCTCTTAGAGATGAAGCTACGATTTCCCTCCTCATGACGTCACTGTGTCTACAGATCTCGGAGATCGCAAGNACTACAGATTCAATTCTTAAATATATATGATGAATTTTTCTCAAATACTTTTTTAAAAGGTTTTGGGTTCATGCGCACAACTGGTTCACTTTTTAAATAGTCTGCGCGGACTACTTATGAAAGACCGTGAGGAGGCTTTTTGATGTATGAGGTGATGGCCTGGCACGAATAAAATCTCCAGCAAAGAGAGAATGGAGAATGGAAATGTTAGGCTCAAAGGGGAGTGTTACATAATTGAGATTGGTACTTTTAAAATTGGTACTTTTATGAGATAAATTCATCCAATTAAACAATAATAAAATGCATTTTTCAAAATGAAACGTTGTTACAATTTTAACTCAAAATTCTTAATTTATTTAAAACACCAACTCAATGCTGAGCATTTAGAATACTCTGTGCAGAAAAAACATACTAAATAAATAATAAATAGTAAGAAATACTTCACTAAATGAATATCGCCTTCATCTCAACAAGTCCTTCCTAATTAGGTAATATGATTTGCCTAATTTAATTTATGGATTTTAAATAAATAATAATGCATATTTAATTAAAGGAAACAGTTACATTTTGCTATAAAAATATAACACTGAAGCCTAAGCGAATTGTTGTTAATTTAATACTTTTCACAGAGCGTTTCTAATTATTGCTGACGTAAGTCTCTAATTTAATTATGAATTAATTACATTTTGTTTTGAAGCTATCTGAGTAAAATTTAAAGTACTAAATTGCAGTCTATAATAATGTCTTGAAGGGTTATGTTACAGGCAACTAATGATACAATTATAGTTTGTTTTCCATTTAATGCTTTAGATATTGAAACATCAATTATTCATTTTTGTAGTTTTTAGTTTTGTTAAATATTTTTCTGTGTTTAAAAAAAAACTGTGTGTAAAGTTGCGACATTAAATGACGTGTTTTAAAATTTCAGAATTGTAAAAAAAAAAGTTCACAATTTAATTAGAGGAAAAAATAATTTAATTTTTAAAAAAGGAAAATTTGCAAAAGGAAAAAACGAACCACCCTGAATTTTGATCTAATTATCAGAACTTAACGTTCTTGGATTCAAACTTTATGTATGGAAGGGGTGACGTCATAACTGCTAATTAAATAGTTCAAACGATATTTTAAGATACAAAATCAGACACAAAAAACGTACTTTCTCTGAATAAGCATAAATTTTTTTTGTTGAATTCGGATTTCTGATCCCCCCAAAAATTAAGGGGGTAGCCGTTATCTGAGAAGTGTGGTCCCAATAGTTAGGCCAGATGAGCCTCCGCACGGTTTTTTGTAGGTAGTCCGATCGGACCACTATGAAGGGAAACCAATTAGTGAAAGAGCCATTTAATATGAAATCTTTTAAAAATTAGAAAGTGGTAGCAAATATATGTCTGTTTTTTTTTTTTTTTTTTAATTTATGAATATAATTGGTTTGTTTTATTTACTTGTCAGCCACTACAGATTCAAATCTCAAATATCTATGATAAATTTCTTTCAAGTGTTTTTAAAATAGAATTTGGATTCATGCTCACAAGTGGTTCGCTTTTTAAATAATATGCGCAGACTACTTATAAGAAACCGCGTGAAGGCTTACTGATGTTGGAGGTGATGGGCGAGTGGTCCAAAGACTGGACCCTTTAATGTTAATTTTATTTCTTGCGTATTTCACCATATCTCGAGAAATGTTTGCGTAAATTAAAAGATTTTGGCACACAATTAGAAAATTCTTTTTGCCAAAGATAATTCCATACGAAAAATAACTTTTAATATATATTTATTACTAGTGTGATGCGCCCCCTGTTCGCTAACGCTCACCAACCCCCGAAAATTGCTACGCAATGATATATGGTTTGCTTCGCAAACCAAGCTCACCTCGCTCGCTACTAGCTTAGGTACATTGCAAATGCACAAAATTCTAAGAATTCAAAACAATAATTCAAATGCATTTAAGAACTTTTTTTTTAAAAAAAATTACATCTTTTTAGTAAATACTAAGTCATTAAAATAAATTTGAATTCAAATAAATGATATGTAATTCGTTAAACCTGTTAGAAATGTGCCATAGTATAAAATCTTAAGATAAAATTTTTAAAACTGATATCTCTTTGAAAAGGTTAAAATTTTCGCTATAATTAAGTCTATTAAAAATTTAAATTAATGAATTACAATGGAAAAACCTGCATAAACAAAACATTGAATTTCGGAAGAAATCTCATTTGGTGAGAATGCTCTCTCTTGTCAAAAAATACAAAATAAACTGACCTCAAATAAAACTCAAAGAACTTCGAATCAAATAATTAAGGAAACTACTATCACGTTTAATATAAAAGGAAGATTTATTAACTAAACAATAAGATTACAGCATCGCAGTTCCGAAAAACAAATCTCACACTCACTCAAAACAACAATTTACATTCTAATTAATCACCATAGCAACCACAAAACTCTTCTCGTTACCATCTATAAACTGATATATAATAAATAAATTATTTAACAAAAAATACGATGTGCATAAACACAGAATATTTTACACTCTGATTATTTCAGTTTCCGTTTTTAAAAGCGCTATATGTTGAGCCACCTCAACTAGATTCGGCATGTGACATTTTTAGCGGCAAACATAAGTTGATTTTCTAGCGTTGCCATTCGGGGAGTTGTAATGAGCCTTTCTTTTGTCGCCGTGTAAGAGAAATATATATATATATATAGATTTATTTTAGATAATAATAGTCAAAACAACATTTGAATTATAAAGTATAAAATTTTTGATATCATTCTAAATAATGTAATTTCAGATGGCAAAATGCAAAATTTGAGTGAGATCGGTCGAATAGTTCCTCAAAAATCTAATTTTAAAAATGCCTTACTTCTAATATGCAATTTCCAAGGAACTAATTATTCAACCGATTTCGATTGCGGATGGGTCCCTATATTTTTTTATTACTATACATTTCAGAATAAAACTTTAAAAGATTGTTTAAAATTTTTTTTAAATGCAGCCAAAAAAATTAAAACTTAGTAATTTAAGTCAAGAGATCTAGTTTAAATTAATATAATTGAAAAAAAAATTATTAAAAAAAAAGTATTTAGTTATTCAAAAAAATTTTTTCATGTTTTTTCAGATATGCCATATTGTGGTAAAAATTTTTCTGTTGGTAGAAAAATTTATGTTTTTATGTATCAGTCACGATTTAAATATCTCAGGTAAAGTCATTTTTCTCCTCTTTACTCAAACTTTTCATTGCCGCAGCTTTTTTTTACCGGTGGGTAAACTTTTCATTACCATTTTTTTTTACCTTAGCTTAACAGCCTACCCAATTCTTAGTTTACGACTACCAATGTTCAACTCTGCAGCCTTGTAATTTTGAACCCAATCCAGAAGACAAGGAAACTCCTAGATCAAGTATTGCGAGAAATATGCCTCCTTATTGGGAGAAATATGCCTCATTAGGGTTTAACGCTGGTTTGTAAATTATATTGCAGAAGTTCTATTCCTGGGGAAGGGGAGTTGGGAGATTTTGCTCTGTCATTTAGCTTGTCTTTTAGTTCACGAAAGTTCTTCGCTGCGTAGTTACTTCAGAATATCATCGGAGCCCTACAGTGCGTTCGCAAAATCTACGAAAGTAAATGACCAGAATATTAGAAAAAGTTGAATAGTTCCAAAATCTCTTTATTAACTTTTTCTATTGTATTATTTTTAGGATAAATACTAGCATTTCACTGTGAATAAATTACCTTTATTAAGAATATAAATCACCTTAAATTTAATACTCTTTTCCCCCTACTATTAAGTGCAGTGGAAAAGTTAAATTATATCAATCTCTTTCTCTCTCTCTCTTTTTTTTTTCTTTTTTCTTAACAGATAACTTGTTTCATACACAGATTCACCGTATCTTTAAAACACGTGATATTAAAACTTTTTATGTTAAATTTTCATTTTTTTAATATTGCGTTTGACTATAAGTGATTAATAAAATGTCTTAGACGGTGTATTCTAGGTCTAACGTTTTGCTTTTATTTCAGGCGTGAAATCACGGCACTTCAAGTAGAGAACTACAGCTTGGAGAGGCAGCTTTTCAGCTATCAAAAATCCTTAGCAATTTCCCAGTCTCGAACGCCGCAACATACCGGAGAACTAGACGAAGAATACTACAATGACCACTACTATGAAAGGAGCTTAAACAAGGAGCAAAGCTTCTCGGAATCTGAATATGTGTGAGAACATACGGGTGAAAACACTCTGCCTTCTTCACAAGGACAGAGTGCCACAAACTTCCACTAGGTGGCGCTTCTGGTGGAATGGGGGAAAGCAGAGTAGAAGGCCATCTCTTCAGGAGGGGTAACCGAGAAGAAAAACCACCTTAAAATCATTTAGGTTTTTATGAATGACGTAAATAGAAATGAAAGCTATAACTTCAGGGCAGTCACTAGAAAGACCTATGTTAAAAGCTTTAGTAATAAACGCTTTAATTATATTCAGAATTCAAACGCTTTAAAAGCAATCATCCTCTTTTAAAAGATATATTTGACACTCATATTTGGATATTATTGTTTTTTTTTTAATTTTTCAATCTATTTTATTTATTCTTTTTAATATCTTGCTCTAATAATTCCTATCTGTGTGCAAATTTGACGTAAATTTTGTATATGCTGAAAATACAAAAAATTAATAACATTAGTAAAAAATAAAGATTTGAATGAACTAAAACACATACTAAAAACCATATCAAGATTTGATAAACAAAAATGTGTTTTGTAATAGCAATATAAAGTATTTCAAACATTTTTAACTGAATTGTAAGACTTTCACAAGGCTCATTGCATTTTATAGATTTATAAAAATTTTCGTTGATGAAAAGATTTTTCTTATATTTTTAGTAGTATTAAAAATTTATTTTAATATTATTCGCTACTTCTAACGTCGTTTCGCAATTTACGAGTATATAAAATTAAATTATTAAATATCCTGCAATTAAAAATCTAGCTAACCATAGCGAAGCTTATTGTGATTTTTTGAATTAATTCTGCTGTGAAATTAATCTGAATTTAATTGTAAAATTATTCAAAATTGCAAATGAAAACTTTGAAACATATTCTTTTATTTTTTTCATTTAATCGAACACTTGATTTTATTGCATTTTTTTCTTCTTATATTTATTTTTTTATCAAAATCCCTTCTGCTTAAATTCAGAAATAGCTTCTATATTTCATAAAGACTAGATTTATTTGTATTTATTTAACTGGATTTTTTTTTAAATTTATTGGTTTTTAATTTCAGATTTTTTTATTTAATAATGTAATAATACATAAAATATTTTATTTTTATACGATTATATATTTTCCTGATTTCAATGCCTTTTCCTCACTTTATCGACATTTTGCCAATATTTAAATATGCTGCAATTAAAATTTGACGCGTACTACTGCACCATTTTTCGTAATCGTTTAGATCGCCTGATTTTTCTAATTATTCATATTTTTATTCATTCCATATTGTATGAAATAATAATTGAGGAAAAACGTTTTAATCGATTTTTTGATTTATCAATAAAGACATTCTTGATATTTTTAGAATCAAATTGCATAGTATATATACTTCCTGAATTATTTATTATGCCTATTTATAAGTGTTTTTATTGCATAAAATTTCAAAGCTTTTTATCTTTGTTGTATGCAAAAATATTTTGGAGAAAGAAAAAAAAACTATGACAGCGTCATTTAAGAAGAAATCACCATAATGCGAAAATGGTCTATTAATCTTTTTCTATTAACAGATATTTTTTGATATTAAATATATTTGCCTGCTAAATTCTTATCATCAAAGTATTTTAATTGCATCTATTGTTTTATTGTTTGTTTTAAATCTATACTAAGCTTAGTTTATAGCATTTTAAAGCTCTATTTGTAAGCAAATATTATGAAATATTTCTAAACTTTTTCAGATTGTACAGTTAAATCAGTGAAATCCTGATTGTTAAAAAATTGACTGATCAAAGACTTACATGAATTCAATTGTTAAAAAATTTTCACTAGTCGATTTTTAAACAGAATGTGTGCTTTCTTCCAATTGGAACTCAGGCAAAACTTATCGTTAATCAATGTGTTATCTTTAATTATTATACAATATTCCTTTATCCTCATCTGCATCAGGAAAGGGGAATGTTTTTCTTTCAAAGAAAGATCTTAATGCAAGAATCTCCGCCCCCGAGAAGAGTTTAAGACAAGAATATTTATGGCACATCCTTTACGGTAAAGCGTTGGTGAAATTTCTTTATCTGTAATCCGTTTCTGGCAAATTAAAGATGGAAAGTTTTCACACCGATGGGACACCGGTGTTCCGTTAATATATTTTTTTCTGACACTCTAATTACAAGCAGAAATATATTTTGATATTATATTATTATAAAAGAACAGTCTAATAGTTACTAAAAAATCTGTTAGATTATCGCAATTATATTTGTAATAAAGTAAAAACAAAGATGATTTTAATTTTTTTCATTCATATTAAAAAATTTATCAATAAATAATTTTGCAAATTAAAGAAATTCCAATGCTGAATAACTATTTCTGTTTGATCTAAATAAGTGCACATTTGAGAAAAAAAATTTGTTTGGAAGTGAGCTTGCTCGGAAGAATTTACCTCTAAGGCAGAAAAAGACACCAGTGTTTCATGCTGTATTTTGTAACGATAAATTATTAAAATGCTAAAAATATTATTTTTCAGTTATTTTGTCTAAATTAACATGAAATACTGAAAAAAAATTAAAAATGTGTTTATTAAGAACTCTGTGTTATAGGCTTAAAAAGAGGGGAAAATGTCACTTAAGCTTGATATTCAAATCACAAAGTTTTATTAAACTTAGGTTATGACTAAATTGAGAAACATATCCCTTACATTTAAGCAATCCTGCAGTTTTATGCTTTCAATTTTATGAGGCTTATAACAGTCTAACAGCGGTTCATGGAAATGTATAAGTATTTATAATTTGAGGAATAGAATAACGGATTACTTCAAATTAAGTCTAATATTCTGAGAAGTAGATTGATTTTCTTTAAAATTATATCTCTGTTATTCGGAGAAATAATATAACGCATTCTTTTTCAAATTATAAATTTATAATTTTAGAAATGGAATACCATAAATTTTCAAATTATACATCTTATGAATGAGAAAGCGAAATAATATTGTTTAGCAAATCATACTAATATATTTATATTTCACAAATATATTTTACATGGGAGACTACCCATGGTGACTACCATGGGAGACTAACCAATACTGCAAAAAATCAGGGTTTCACTGTAACTGTGTACTTATTACCTTTCATACTTGCTCTCTGAGAAAATAAAATACTTTTAATAAACATTTTTAAAACCTAATTAGCAAATTGTATAATGTATATTATTAGAGATACATGGTATGCCATTTAGAGCTTGAAGCATACTCTTTACTTTAAAATCACTATAAGGTGCTCAGAGAGTATATATATTTAAAAATTATCGCCAAATCTACGTGTGCCATAAACTTTACACACATAGCCGCATTTGTAAAACGTACAAATTATTCTTCGGCAAAATATATATTATTTATATGTTCTATAAAAATTTACATGTTTATAACTGTTTATTATTTCGAAACAATCGATCCATCCATATAAAATCATTTATATTGGCAGTAACTTTGTCAACTAAAAGTTATAGTGTTTAATCATAGCACTTACTTTAGCCACTCGTTACAGTAATATTATTCAAAAGCATACTTAAATAGATTTATTTTTTTTTTGAATTTTTTTGTTTATTGGAATAAAATTTACAGGCTATTAAATATCGTTTTTGGAATCACACACCGTCTTCAAGGCGATTTAGTTAAAAAAATATAAAAGAAGAAGGAAAAAAAAACATTTATAACAGAAATCAATTTTTCCAGCGGCTCGTAAAGTCAAATGAAGGTCAAATGCTTAGACTTAGAATCACTTGTAGTAAACAAAGCGAAGAAAGAACCATGTGTTTATCAGTTTTAGAACAGCAACAAGCACACAATGACACGCAACATACTTTCTCTTCAGTAGAATTTAAAGGCTTTGTGTAAAATCTCTAAGCACTTAAAGTAGTGTTTATGTCGAAGACAATGCATTTTCAAACATAAGTGCTTTCCCGGAGGCACACAACTACAATAATCACACTGAATGTGTTCTTTTTTCTCCACGTGAGCTTGTGCTTCCTTTTAGCAGCGTCACGAGCAACCTACAGATTTGTTGGGACCAAATAGAAAGGAAAAAAAAACGCTTCCGTTTCTTAATTTTAACTTTAGCTACTTGCGGCAAACAAATCAGGATAGTTCTGTGTGTTGTTTAGCACGTAGCTCTAGTGCTGAGGTAAAATCTGACAAAAAAAGGAATACCGTTCCAAAGTTTTTAATTCTAAATTAACTGAAAATAAGTCCTCTTAAATCATTTGGTAAAAATACAAGTACAGCTCATTCACCATATGAAATCGATTAAGGGCCAAATTATAGTTTGAGCCCATTTGTTAAATAGGGTTATATAAAAGCAGAAATCGAAGGAAATTGAAAGAAAGACAGTAAATAAAGAAAAAGGCTTTGCACCAATTAGCATAATCGTATTCCTTCGGTGAAAAGAACTACCCGAAATTCAATGGTCTTCTTAAAGTGGACGGACAGTAAAACATCAAAATAAAGTTTGAAGCATGTTTAAGTTTATTGCTTTAGAGTTTGAAGCATGTTTAAGTTTATTGCTTATGCATATGAATAAACAAAGATAATATTGATACAAAATATTGAATGCTTACATGGCGTGGTAATACTAGCTATTCCAATATATTGCATCATAATTGCGTTTCATTTTTTTTCTTGACTATAATAGTCCGCTGACATTATTTAAAACTCTGAAGAAACTTACAATTATTACTTATAGCTTCAGTAGTAAATGTTTATAATTATTGTAATGTTTAGAACTTTATTTCGTTTTGTGTTTTGTAATTATTAATTTAAAATATTACTAATATATTATGAAGGATGCTGAAATGAAATGTAATTATTTTAAAATATCAAAATGACTTTATCGACTGATTTAAATTAATTTACCAATTAAAAAAGTAGTAAAAGTCTCGATAGTGTTCCATTAAAGTAAATCAACCATCATTAAAGTAATCAGAATAGGTAAGAACGCAGTAAAGTAATCAAATAAAGTAAAACAAATGTAATCAAAATAAAAATCGAGTAAAAAGTATTCAAAAGAACTTTAATTGGCCTAGTATTACTAACTTTTATTCGATTTTTTTAAATTTTTAGCTGGATAGCTAAACAATTTATCCGAATACATTTCATAATATGTTTTACTGTCATGTCGTTTTAAATTTGTTTATATATCTATGTAATTGCTTTCAATACAATAGCAAAAGATCAAAATATTTCTTTTGATTTATCCCAAACATATTATTAAGAAAGACTTACTCGACTCTTAGACTTACTCGCTTTAACGAATAAATCCATTTTATGACTTTAGAGCGGTATTCCTAATATTTTGTTCCTATATTTTCAGGGGCGGATCAAGGTTTTTCTTGACTCGAGTATAAAATGTGTTTTGCGACTGCCCATCTAAAAATACATATATTACGTATTTTGCTAACTTTGGATTTGCTTAACTCCTACTTTTTAACTCAGTTACCCATGGCCCACCTAGATCCGTCCCTGTTGTCTTCAGTAGCTTAGTGATGCATCAGCCAGAAAAGCAAAACATATCAAGATCTTCCAACAGCAAAGGTCTGGAATGAAACAAACAATATTTGCATTTTGTTGGCACGGAAATATTTTGTTTTTCGAGGTTTTGGTGCTTATCCCCTCCGTTTTCCTCCATATGCTCCTTTACTCAACATTCATTCCTTTGATAATGCGTCAGATGATAAAAACCACCGACATTACGAATTTTATCATAAAATAATAAGTAGAATAAACATCAAAACAGGAATATCATCTTTTTTTCTTAATTTTGTTAATTAATATAATAAAGTAAAATTAAGTAAGTGAATTAATTAATAACCTTTTATAGGTTGTAATACTT